GAGAAACCCTATGTATGTAAGCAATGTGGGAAAGGTTTTTTCAGACAGAGAGATTGTGAATCACATATACGGACACACACTGGGGAGAAACCCTATGTATGTAAGCAATGTGGGAAAGCTTTTAGTAGCAAAGCAGGTTTCCAAATACATGAAAGGAATCACCATGCTGAGAAACCCTATGTGTGTAAGCAATGTGGGAAATCCTTTGTCAGACACAGAGATTGTGAAATACATATATGGACTCACACTGGGGAGACACCCTATGTTTGTAAGTACTGTGGGAAAGCTTTTGTCAGGCAAACAGATTTTAAGAGACATGAATGGACTCACACTGGGGAGAAACCCTATGTATGTAAGTACTGTGCGAAAGCTTTTAGCACATCTCATAAGTGTCAAAACCATGAAAGAATTCATACTGGGGAGAAACCCTATGCATGTAAACAATGTGGAAAACTTTTCCGCACAAGGAGTCTTTGTCGAACTCATGAATGGACTCACACTGGGCAGAAACCCTATGTATGTATACAATGTGGGAAAGCTTTCAGCAAAAAATCAGGTTGGCAAACACATAAGAGGACTCACACTGGTGAGAAACCCTATGTATGTAAGCAGTGTGGGAAAGCCTATGTTGCACACAGAGATTATAAAACACATGTAATTACTCACACTGGGGAGAAGCCCTATGTATGTAACCAATGTGGGAAAGCTTTCAGCAGGCAGTATAGGTGTGAAGTACATAAGAGAACTCACACAGGGGAGAAACCTTATGTATGTAAGCAGTGCGGAAAAGCTTTTAGCACAAGTGCTGTTTTTAAATATCATGAACAGACTCACACTGGCGAGAAACCGTATGTATGTAACCACTGTGGGAAAGCTTTTAGCAGACAATATAATTGTCAGGTGCATAAAAGAACTCACACAGGGGAGAAACCCTATGTATGTAAGCAGTGTGGGAAGGTTTTCAGAACAAGTGCTGTTTGTAAAAGTCATGAACGGACTCACACTGGGGAGAAACCCTATATGTGTAGGCAATGTGGGAAAGCTTTCAGTGGAAGAGCAGGTTGGAAAAAGCATGAAAGGACTCACACTTGTGATTGATCCTATGTATGTAGTCAATGTGGGGAAGCCTTTGTTCCACACAGAGAATGTGAAACGTGTGTGTACTTACTGGAGAGGAGCACTACTGTTTATGCAATGTGGGAAAGCACAGGCCGAAATTGTCAGAATCGTGAAAGAACTTGAACGGAGAAATCCTATGTCTATAAATTATGTGGGAAAGACTCACAACATATTATGTTTGTCAAAGACATGAAAGATACCACGCTGGGAATTAAACGTAAGTAGGAAGTAATGTGGCAAAGCCTTCAGCTCATGTGGTCATTGTCAGAGATGTGAAGAAACATACACTGTTGAAACACTATGTAAGCAGTGTGTGAATGCATGCAGTACACACAGATGTTGTCAAGTACATGAAATAAATCACACTTGGGAGAAAGCGTAGAAACAGTTAAGGCCAAGCCTCTGCGCAGTGAGCATCACACACATTGAGAAGGGAGAGTGCAGTAAGTGAATGAGTGAAGTGACTTAGACACGAATGAGACCAGGAGAAGCTTTCCTTCTAAGCAGTGTAAAACCTCTAAGTCCATAGAAGTATCTTGACACACAAAGAATTCCTAATAAAGGTACTCAGGCCATATGTTTGTGTGGGAGTTTGTTAATTAAATCAAATACATGATAGAGTTCCCGTGATAGGGAATGTGATATATGTGGAAGTGCTTGAGTTCTTCCACTTACTCAGAATATCAGAATTCAGATGAGAGAGAAACCCCGTGTAAATAATGGGAGAACTCATTGTGTGATGCCAGAACATAGAAATGAAGAAATTCTTGGTAAATATGGAGCATGGGAAATCTTCATTTTCACACTACTTTGGGTAAAGCATGGCATTGCACACTGGAGAAATTCATATTGAAATTTATTATGCAGGAACACTTACAGGAGTTTTCTTTAATTCATGTATCAAATCGTGTTGTGAGAAACCATTCATATAAGGGTTGTGCCCAGGGTGTCAGCTGTTCCTCGTACAAGAATGACCATTGTATCAGAGCCCAATGGCAGGACCAAGGTCTCAGTTACAACTTGTTTTCCAAATGGTTTGATCACTTTTCCTAGTTTAGGCCTAAAGAATAAATTGTATAAAAATGACATACCAGTTATTTCTCCAGAAAATATACATGCAGAGGAGATGTAGTGTTCATATTGTAGCCTGTTTTAAAATAGGTCTCTGGTCTAAATAAATTTAAGGTTTCTTTAATAATTAATGTAGCTGGGGCCAGGGAGATGGTTCAGTAGAATAAGTGCTTCCCTGGCAAGCGCAAGGGCCTGAGTTCAATCCCTGGTTCCGCAAACACACACACACACACACACACACACACACACACACACACAAATTAATGTAGCCAACAGTAGTGGTGCATATCTGTAATCCCAACACTGGTGAGGCTGAAGGAGGAAGATCTTTGTGAGCTCCCGGCCAAACTGGGCTACAGAGTGAAACCCTATCTCCAACAAAACAGGCAGGATGGTGGCGCACACCTAGGGGGTCTGAGGCAGGAGGAGCCCTGGGAGTTCAAGACCAGCCTGGGCTGCAAGGAGAGCTCAGGGCCAGCCTGAACTGCCCAGCAAGACCTTGTCTGACAAAGTGAAAAGCAAAATAAATTATTCATTTTCTTTAGATTCTTTTAAGCAACAGCAAGGTGTTTTAAGTATTAAGGTATCTTAAGTATTGTCACTTAAAATATGTAATGGTTGTCTTTATTTTGTACTACATTAGATCCATAGGTGAAGAGAACCATATTTCCTATGTGACAGTAGGCTCAATACTTTGTGGTTTTTTTCCCCCTCTCTTTTTTGCATTTAGTAAATGTGTTGGACTGACAACTGGTGCTCAGCTTGTAACACCCTGCTGTCCTGTGCTGGTGCTGGGTGTGGGAGGCCCAGCTGAGGATTGTGGTGGGCAGCATGAGAGGCAGACCTGGACAGTGAGGAAGGAGGTTGCTAGGAGCTGGTAGAGGCTGTTGACGTTGTTCTGCTTGGCTTCCTTGAGACAGGGTTTCACTGTGCAGTTCCGGCTGGCCTTGAGTTCACGTTGTAGTCCATTGTGGCGGTGAGCTCACAGTGATCCTCCTGCCTCAAGTGCTGGCTTGTCAGGAATATGCCACTGCACCCAGCTCGTAGAGGCCCCTGGAGCTGTTGGTGTTTCTGGAGATGGTGTTGGCTGGACCCTGTCCTGTAGGCTTCCCTGAGGAACTCAGGCTGTTCTCCTTAGAGGAGGACCTTGGGACCTCGCTGTTCCTATGAGGGCTGTGGTGCCCTTGGGGGAGCGCTGCTTTTTACTTTGAATGTTGCTTCCTGGCTCCAGGGCAGGCCCCTCAGCCTGCTTCCTCCTGCTGGCACAGATTTTCTAGCTTCCACCACTGACCTGTGGGCCTTCCCAATGCAGATCCATGAAACATGTCTGTCTGCGACACTGTCATGGGCTCTAGGTAGCATGTGGACACGTAGGGGTTGTTGCCACAGTCTCTAGTATTGTAGAACAATCGGCTGTGAAAAGAATGACCACAAGGCTAGGTGAAATCAGCCGCGGGGTCTCACTGAGATGAGCTTTTCTCTAAGTGAGCCCCGAGCCACGGAAACTTCTTTTATTTACTGAGAGCTACAAACATGGCAAGGCATGTGCATAACTAATCTGCTCTATGAAAGCTGTTATTTACATCTCTTTCTGGCATTCACCAGACTAAGTTTGCGTATCACTCGTTGGTAATTTCCCAGGTAAAGGAAGAACAGGCAGGGCGGGAACAGGCAGGGTGCCACCTCCAGGAATCTGTCATACCTCGCCTCCAGCTTGCGTGGAATTATGAGGAGCCAGTTTCCCTAGGCTCTGTTTTCGTTCCTTGCTCCCTCGAACAGTAAACTTCTGGCTCATGTCACTACACAGGTCTTCACTGGACGCATGCAGGACATGGTGGAATCCAGCTCTCAGCTGGAATCCCTGGGCATTAGCGTGGGGACACTAATTTATGCACTCTTTTATGTGATTCTTGGAGTAGGAATTATCCTGTAAAGTGTGCATCCTGTTGTATTGTTTCCCCTCTCAAAACTCCACACCAGGACAATACTCACTAATGGAGCATTTGCAGTCTTAAAAATCACATTTTCATCAGGGCATGACAGCTGACAACATATGTCCCAGCACTCTGGGAGGCTGACGAGGCAAGCAGCACGTTTTATCCAGGCTGGTCATCTTGCATGTCTCAAAAATTAAAAATAAACAAAGCTCTGACACTGTAGCTCAATATGAAAGCTGTGGGCTCAACTCCCAATGCAAGAATTGTTGTCAAATGATTCTTAATTACATTGAGAAATTAATATATATATATTGTATGATATGAAAGGTACAGGGTATAAAACAGTTGTAGACAGCATTTTTCATCTAAATATATAATTAGTACAAATAAAATACTGAAATGTTAACAGGGGTAAACTATGTGGTAGGATTTTTTTTTTTAGACATGGTCTTGCTATATCAAGTCTGGCTTTGATCTTTGTGGTCCTCCTGCCTCAGTTTCTCAAGTGCTGGGATCACAGGCATGTACCACTATACCCTGCTCTGTGGGGTAGGATTACAGCTTACCTACTTCAGTACCATGGGCTGAACCCAGGGCCTTTGCACATTCTCAACCCATTTTTATTTATTCTAATTTTGAGGAAGGTCTCACTGGGTCATTAAATTACTCCAGGCAGGACCTGAACACTTAATTTTCCTACCTCAGCCTCTTGAAGAGCTGGGATCACAGGCATGGACCACCATGTATGGCTTACAACTGCAACTGACTTTTATAATCATTATAGTTTGATCTATTTTCAAAACTTTTGCATTGAGGGTGTAACAGTTTTATATTTTGAATGGAGGAAAATAGTGTTTCTCTCCTGCATTTTTGAGGCAGGGTCTCACTGTATAGTTCAGGCTGGCCTTGAGGTCACTTTGTAGCCCAGGATTGTCTGCCACATGCGAGGACCCTCCTGCCCCAGCTTCCCCCACCCCAGTGCTGGGATGACAGGCGTGGCCCACCATGCCCAGCTGGGGACCTATTTCATTTTCTTGGGAGGCTCAGCAGGATAGTGTGGCTAAGGATATGGGCCTTGAGAAGTGGTCTGGTTGCTGGGGAGGAGGTGCTCTATGCAAGGAGCTGGCCAAGGGTGCCTGCTGGTGCTGCTGGGCGTCAGCCAGGAGCTGGGGTTAAGGACCACGTTTTCAGGGAGGCCAGACAGCACCACGGCCCTGCAGGGGAAGACTTTTCTCCTGCCCATGTTTTTCGACCTTTCGAAAGGCCAGCGACTCCTGGAAGTCTGTTTCCCTTCCTTTCTGGGCGCATGAAGGGTTTTTGTAAAGCCTGAGGAGGGTGTGACAGGGTAAGCCAATGGTCAGCTTCACTCTAGCTGTGCGGAAGGAACCCTCCAGCCTGAGGTCAGGAGGGGACAGGATCTCCCCTGAGCAAGCGCAAGGCTGGCAGGGGAGGAGCGTTTGGCTGAGGACAGCTTTCTAGGCCTGGGAGGACAGCAGATTTCGAAGTCAGAGGCTGGAGCAGGTGGCAGAGACCAGCACCTTCTTTGTCTGTGTCCCGATTATTTCTTTGGGGCATCCCTGTGACTGAAACCTGTGCACACACTAGGAAAGGGACATCCGGGCACAGTCTGCAGCACTGTCCAGGAGGGGGCATCTGGCTGGCAGGGGCAGATGCCTTGGGCGCTGCACACCTGTCCCCACCTGGAGGACCAGCTTACCCCAAGGCCCATAGGCAGGTGCCAGGGTGAAGACAGCCGGGACAGGTCGCCTGGTCCTTCTGGGCTGCTGAGGGCCAGGGTAAGTACGGCCTTAAAGTGCTGGGATTGGAGAAAATTCCTTTCCCTCAATAAATGTATATGCGGCTCTTAACCTCTGTTGTTCCTGAAATTCGTTCTTGTAAGGACACGAACGCATCCCTGATGACTTTCGAGTTGGCAGTTTCTTTGCTCCGTACCATGAGAACCTGGGGTGCAGGTCGACCTTAGGGTGAATGAACAGGTGAATATGCACGGGTTTAATCCTCAGACGGGCCAGTCGCCTTCACAGCGAGGAGATCCTGCACACATTTCGCCTCCCAGCCCCAGTTGTACCCTGGAGGGAAGTCCAGAGCGTTCGGCTGCCTGCAGAGTGGATCTCGGCACAGACGCTCCCGCGCTGGCCACAGCCACAGCTGGCACCGGCCAGTGGGCCAGCGGTTGGCACGGAGTAAGGGCACTTTCCTAGCTTCCTCCTCACGTAGGAAGCACAGCTCCGGGAAGGGCCTCTAGAGCAAGAGGCAGGCGCCCACCTGCTGCAGTTGTGCCCCGCGGTGGTGGCCTGTCCCTCCGGACACCGTCTGACCCCCGGCGTACCCCCCCCCCGCCAGTGAGTTGCCCACCAGGACGGGTTGCATCCTCCGAGCTCAGGCAGTCGGTGTAAGGGCAGCTGCTGCCCACGTCGCACAGTGTCGTGCCTCCCGTCGTGGCAGCTCGCGGTCTGGCTGCCTCCCATCTGTGCGACTAACCCAGCTGCCTGGACGATGTTCTCCAGCACAACGGGGCTGACAGACGGTGTCAGCGCCGCAGCCAGCGGCCTCGGTCCCCAGTCGGCCCTGCGGTACCCGCACCCTCGGAGCCCGCATGTGCACGCTTCCCTCCGGGTGCGGATCTTCGTGGGAGCCTGACCCACCATGGGACTTTCGGGGTGTAAGGGTCGAGTCGCCGTGAAGGAAGGCCCCAAGAGTCAGTCTCTCATGCAAGTCACAAAGGGCAAGCTTTATTATCCTCGTGCACGCAGGGCGGTCTGAACATGCAGGAACAGAGCGCCCATAAAGCATGGTGGATATAGTTTTTAAAGGCAAAAACCACAAAAGGGGGAGGGAGCAAGCGGTGTACAGAAGCAGATTGCATTGGTTACTTTTAGGATGACCTTTAAAATAATTGGTGGGTTTGAATATATGACTTTTTAAGGAAACTAAGAAAGGGGTAGGTAAAGGGTAACTATGAGCTAACTCTGTGGTCCCGGTGGTATTTGGAGAGCGGGTGGTTTAACTGAACATTGTAACCTATTTCATAAGAATGTCCTAAGCCCAGAGGCCTGAGGTTTTATGACTCCATCTGGAGTTTCTGGAGTATGGGTTACTTAAGCCCTATGGCTATAAACCGGTGGGTGGTCTCTTTTAACTGGAGTTTGAACTTTAAAAAATTATTTGGGCCTTACATTTACCCCTTTTCGTGTTGGAAATCTCTAATCTTAGAGATCTGAGTTGTTGGTGGTCAGGGCTTCATATTGTCGAATAATCATCAGTTTGACATTACCTATTTGGTTGCGGATGAAATCTATGACTCTATTAATTATACAGGGCCCAATAGTCACTGCGAGGAGCAGAAGTATCAGTGGTCCTGTCAAGGCATTCAATAAGGTAGTCAACCATGGGGAACGGTTAAACCAAGATTCAAAAATACCTTGTTGAGTTTAGCGTCCTCTCTGTCTTTGTCCTAGACCTTTTTTAAACTCAGCCATTGATTCTTTTACTACTCCAGTATGGTCGGCATAAAAGCAACATTTTTCTTTTAGGGCTGCGCATAAGCCTCCTTCTTTGAGTAGTAGTAGGTCTAATCCTCTACGATTTTGTAAAACCATTTTTGCTAGTGAACCGAGGGATTCTTCCAACTTAGACACCGAGTCTTGTAAATTGGACAAGTCCTTGTCAGCTTGTTCACTAAGCCATCTAAAGTTTTGGTCTCCAACCACTAAACCTGAAATACCTAGAGCCATTGATCCAGCAACTCTGAAACCAAGCAACATGGGCACAAGCACAGGATTAGCTCTAGAGAATTGACCCCCTGTTTCTAAATGTCTGAGTCCCGATTCATTTTCTTCTCTGGCCGGTGCAGCGCGGGTGTGCGGAGCACCAAGCTGGCCTCCTGGGGACCTCTTCTGCCACAAATGGCTCTTTGGTTCTCCCAAATATTCTCGTAGCACAGATTTTTCTACTTTCAGGAGTTGTTTGAAGGAAGGATTTTTAGCCACTTGAAAAAAGTTCTTGGGATTTTTGACAACTCGTAATTACTGTATTTTGTTCCTCTCTGCATTCAGTCCCTGCTTATTGAGTCCAGGGGGGAGAAAACTGGCTGTCCTGGCTGTTTGAGGAGTTGGTGCTGGCAATGGTGTGCTACTTTATCCTGTCTATCGTTAACTCCATGGCGCAGAGTTATGCCAAACGAATTCAGCAGCGCTTGAACTCAGAGGAGAAAACTAAATAAGCAAAAAGCATTTTTAACTACAGCAGTTATAGTGGATGGGTTCTGCCTTAACTTGAGGGGACTCCAAATGAGGAAGGAAAAATCCCTTTTCCAGCCTGTATCAAATTTAAAGACTTCCTGAAAGCAGTTTAGCCCCTGTTTTGCACAGACATGCTTTTTCTCGTGTTAAGGTGAGGCGCCCCTTCAGTTCAGCCCAGCTTGTGTTCTGTTAGGCTGGCGTGTGCTGCTCAGCCCAAACTTCCCAGGACCAGCCTCTGTCTCTTCAAAAGGCCTACATGGTACAATTAGAGCATTCCTGCCACACCAAAAGTTCCTAGGTGTGTTAAATATGTCAAGCTTTTTAGGCTTGTCGGCAATGATTGCTTTGTTTTTCTAAGTCATCAAAATGTGTACAAGTTCTAGAGACTGGCTGAGTCCTGCATGTCTATCATGGTATCATTTAATACACCGTCCTGCCCAGTCCTTCCCCAACCCCTCTCAAAAAAGGCCATTTTATGATGCATTGCACACCCTCTGGGGAAATTTATCTTTAAATTTTGAGACAGTATAAGGAAAATTTGGTTGGT